ACCTTTCAATGTAGCGCGATGTACCTGCCCAATGGAAGCCACCGCAAATTGTTTCTCATCGAAACTTTCCAAAAGATGACGCCAATCGGCGCCCAATTGTGTGATCATTACGCGCTCTACTTGCCAATCGGGCATATAGTCGGCCGCCTGGCGTACACGTTCAAAAGCTTTAGCCAGCTGCGGTGACACCACCTTAGAATCCTGTATACTTAGTATTTGGCCGATTTTCAATGCTGCACCTTTGTTGATGAACGTGGTATGTACACATACCGGGACCGTATTCGACGCATGTGCGAACAGAATAAATCTTCATTTGTTGTATCCTACACGGATTTGGCAAATAAAGAGCATGTACTTGCGTACTTCCTACCTGAAGCACCTTTTCAAATGCTAGAAATCTTCGACAAGGTGGCTAAAGACATGGTCTTATCAATATTTCCAACATATGAACGTGTTACAACAGAAATTCATGTTCGTATATCAGAATTGCCTCTTATAGAAGAGTTACGGACTTTCCGGAAACTCCATCTGAACCAGCTGGTGCGTACTTTGGGCGTGGTAACAGCTACAACGGGTGTGTTACCTCAACTTTCAGTCATCAAATACGATTGTGTGAAGTGTGGCTACGTTTTGGGGCCCTTTGTACAGTCACAGAATACAGAAGTTAAACCTGGCTCCTGTCCTGAGTGTCAAAGTGCCGGCCCTTTTTCGATTAATATGGAACAAACATTATATCGGAATTACCAGAAGATTACCTTACAGGAATCTCCTGGTCGCATTCCCGCTGGTCGGATTCCGCGTAGTAAGGACGTAATTCTTTTAGCGGATCTTTGTGACTTATGCAAGCCGGGTGATGAGTTAGAAGTTACTGGTATTTACACAAACAACTCTGATGGTTCGCTAAACACTGAGCAAGGGTTTCCGGTTTTCGCCACCGTCATTATTGCGAATCATATCGTTGTGAAGGACAGCAAACAAGTAGTACAATCGCTTACGGACGAAGACATCGCTACCATTCAGAAGTTGAGTAAAGATCCTCGGATTGCAGAAAGAATAATAGCTTCAATGGCCCCATCCATATATGGCCACGACTATATTAAACGCGCACTTGCGCTGGCTCTATTTGGTGGAGAGTCTAAAAACCCCGGTGATAAACACAACGTTAGAGGCGACATAAACTTACTTATATGCGGCGACCCAGGAACAACAAAACACAAACAAAAAGAAGCTGATTGTCACCGAACCGAACCCTTTTGGAGCTGAAGATATGTGAGTTTTTAAATATTGTTTTTGANGCGGGTCTTACACTATAAACTGCCTACACAGTTTATGCAATCTCTTCCAAATAAAGCGGATAGAAAACCAGCAAGCTTGAGAGGTTGAAGATTTTGAAACAAAAAACCATATCGGGTTAAACTTGCTAGTTTTCTACTGTTTGCTTTTATTCTGAGGCGGAGTAGTTCGCTACTTCTGCAGTTATTTTAATTATGGATTCAGATCTGAGGATGGTCGTTTTTGTATAGCCAGATCAACCCGGGGTAACTCGGGTAAGAACCATCACGCCAAATACAAAAAAAAAAAACTCAAAATATACTCCATGGTACTAAAAAACAGGTTATCTCCAAAAAGGTTAGACATGGGATCCCTCCTACTACCTAGAAGTGGAATGTTG